AGAACAAATATGTTTGTCCAGAAGAAAGTGAAACCAGGCTGTTCCTTGGAGGCAAGGATTCTGAAGCTCCACCTGACATACTTTGGACATGTTGCAAGGAGGGACCAGTCCTTGGAGAGGGACGTCATGCTTGAGAGGGTGGAGGGACAGTGCAGGAGAGGAAGACCCTCAATGAGATGGACTGATTCAGTGACTCGGGTAATCAGGGTAGGTGTGTCAGTGACAATGAGATTGGCACAGAATAGGGCAGGGTTTAGGGCTGTTGTACATATAGTCACTATGTGTCACAGGCAGCATATAACAATAATAACAGCAATGCAATCAGTTTAAGTAGAAAAGGGGTGCTATTTAAAGGAGCTCCTGGGAGTGCAAATGCTTAAGCACATAACTGGTATCCAGAAGGACTCCCTTGCCTGGCCGTCTGCTGGCCCGACGGGGCAGTTCTACTCTGCACACGCGGGGTTACCAGGGGTTGGAACAGACTTGAGGCAATTAACGACAAAAACAAAATTAGAGTCCAGAAAGCAACAGGCCTTACTGCAGACTTCATTACCATCTTAACTGCCAGTATGAATCCATAGTAAGAAGTGATCGATGGTTTTAAGGAAGGTAGGGATCAGAACTGTTTGGTTTTTAAGAATATTCACTGTAGCCAGGTGTGACTTCAGAAGTTAGAATGGCTGCCCAACACATACACACTGACCCTTCCTCAGTAAACTTTAAGACAATATACTATGACTAATCATAAACAGGAAGCAGGAGTGGCATCCACTTCCGTAAACAGCTTGCTCTGGAAACCCTATGAACCTGGAGAAACGATGAAAGACATACAGGTGTTGAGGACTTTCGCTCACAGGGTCGCTATGAATCGCCTACGACTCAACGGCACTTAACAACAACAATCATAAACATGATGTCAGTCTGTGGAACAAGGTGCACCTGATCTAGGACATGGCCTTCTCAATTACTTATTAGAGGTCTAAGAGCTAGACAATGACTAAGGATGGCAGAAGAAAAGTCAATGTCTGCATTCTGGTGCCGGGAAAGAGAAAACAAATAGGTCTGTCCTGGAGAGGGTGAAACCAGGTCGCTTCTTGGAGGCAAGGATTTTGAAGCTCTGTCTCACGTACTTAAGAGTATGTTGCCAGGAGGGACCAGTCCTTGGAGAAGAGTCAATGCAGGAGAAGACGACCCTACAAATTGACACAGTAATTATGGCAATGAGGGCAGCTGTGTCAGAGACAGTGAGATTGGCTCAAGATGGAGCAGAGGGCCGAGCTATTGTTCATAGAGTCGCCGTGAGTCGTGGTTGACAGCACATGACGACACCATAAACAACTTTTCAGAAAAGCTCTATGGGACATTCCTATGAAAGGGGCCCCCACCACAGCTCAAGCATCCCACTGACTCCCACTGATGGGCCCCTGAACTGGCCTGTGAGATGTGCAAGGACAGAAAAAGCCACGGAATCAATTGTGGCATGTGTTGTTGTTGATCGCCTTCAAGTCGAGCGCAACTCATAGCGACCCTATGAACAACAGGCCTGAAGCCCCTCTACAACGACCAACATTTATCAAAATTCGTAGAACCATGTTCAAATGAAACCAATTGTGGCATGTGTTGTTGTTGTTGCTGTCATTGTTTTTCAGTACTTTGGAGGGGTCCCTAACAGCAGACTTTCCCATGGCAATGCGCCTTTTAATTTCCTGGCTACGGGTGCCAAGAGTGTTGATCATGGAGCCAAGCAAACTAAAGCTGTGAACAATCTCAATCTCTTCACCATCCATCCTGATGCTGCCAATTGGCCCAGTGATGAGAATCTTTGTCTTCTTGACATTGAGCCTCAATCCATATTGGAGGCTGCAGTCCTTGACCCTCTTGTGGCATGTAGCTTTACAAAATATTTGATACTTATTTTGATGTTCAATCACATGACATGTCAAACTATGCCCAATGTGTACCACATAGCACAGGTGTGGAGGCAGGTGCCTTCGTTCTAAACCCAGTTCTGCCATTTGGCAGTGAACAAGAACCTCACCTCCATGGTACACACTGTCCTCTTCTAGAGAAGAGGGATAAACAATCCTGCTTTAAGAGGATTGAAAAGATTGACAGTATTTCTTTGTTCAGAAGGATTAAGGGTCTGTCTTACAGCAAATACCCACTGTAGCATTACAGTGATGATAACGCCTTGCTGACAGGGAAGAGGACTTGAGTGTCTCCCAAAGATCAGCATTTCAGCCTACACTGTGCATCACCTATCAGGAGGAAGAAAACAAAGCTCCTGAGAATTAGACCAGTAGGAAACACATTCGACAAGACATGGAGACAAGAGTGAAGCTGTCATGAGTTCATTTTCTTTGGATCCACAGCCAACAGCCATGGAAGCCACAGCGAAGAATAAACTACGTCCTTCACTGGGCAGACACGCATCCGAGGACAGCCTTCAGGGGTAATGAGGGAGGAGGTCACTGCAAAGACTTAGGTCCACTCTGGTGTTTGTCAACTGCTTCAGATTCTCATGAATGTTGAACAATGAGTAAGGAAAATGAAAAACAATCCGTGCATTTGAATTGTGGTGCTGGTTAAGAACGAATCCACCAAGAATTACCAAAAGAGAACAAAGAGGTCTGCTTTGGACAGCACGTAACCAGAACATTCCTTAGAGGCACGGGTGGTGGGACTTCGACTCTCACTTACTTCATATACGTTATCAAGGGAGGACAGTTCCTGGGAAAGGGCATCATGCTTGGAAGACGGAGGTTCCATGATGGAAAGAAGACTCATCAATGAGGTTCACTGATGGAGTGAGCAGATCAACAGGCCCGAGCAGAGCAGAGACTACGAGAATGGGACGGGATCAGGCCGGGTTCCCATTTCAAATATTTTTTAAAAAACCCTTTACTATGAATAATCTTTAATTGTAAAAATTGTATCATTTGCTCTCCCACCTCACTTCTGTCACCAAGTCTTTCTTTTCCAAATACTAGTCTTTCTTTGTTTGCAACTTTTGCATTCTAGTCACCAATTATTATCAATGCATCTTGACTGCATGTCTGATTAATTTCAGAATGGGTAGAAAGCCTCAATTTCTTCACCTGTGTTTTTAGTGGGTGGTATGTATCTTTGAATAATTGTTGTTGTTTCATGCCACTGAGTTGGAAACGTCCCATAAGTGTCCCTCTCTGAAGATTCTCAGAGGCAGGAAATTTCACAAGAGACTGCCCATCCTTCTCCCGTGGAGCAGCTGGTGGGTTAGAACCACGCACCTTTGGGACCACAACACAGCTTCTTTCCACTAGGCTACCAGAGCTCCCTGCTGAGTAAGACTTGTATTAACAGACCTTCTTTGTGTGCGTATGGGCGGTATCCTACCAGTCACAGGACTGTACTTGAGGATAGAGCTTGAAATGTTCTTTTTGGCTCTGAATGCTACATCATTCCTCGTCAAATTGTCATCCCAGGCATAATATTATCATATCATTATCTGATTTTAAATGGCCCAATTTCAGCCTATCAACCTCTTATGCATTCAATCTCATGTTTGGCAACCTGCAATTTTCCTAGCTTCATACTTTACACATTCCAGGTTCCAACTACTAATGGCTGTTTCCAGACGTTTCTCCTCATTGTTTGTAGCTGCCTTCCACGTGAGGGGTTCATCTTGTAATGTTTTATCTAACAGCGTGCCTCTGTGACTCAGAGGCTTCTCAGAGGCCTGTCATTTCCAGAGTAGGCCAATCTTGCTTCCTAGTCTTTTCTAGTTTAGAAGCTTCGTCGGAACCTTTTAACCACTGGTGATCCTGATGCTATGTGAGATACCAGTGGCAGAATGTTCAAGTCATCCTGGTAAACTGACAAACAAAGTGTTGCAAAGTGTAAAACAAACAAACAAACATACACATTGGAACATGAATAAGGAAGACAGAAGAACAAGTGATGTCTCTGAATCATGTTGCTGGGTTAGAATACTGACTGTACCATGTACTGTCAATAAAACAAACAGATCTGGGAGGAAGTACACCAGGGGGCTCCTTAGAGGCAAGGATGGACTTTAAGCTGTCAGGAGGAGCCTCCTTTGGAAAAAGGCGTCACGTGCGGACTGGCAGGGAGTCAGGGAAAGAGGCAAGGTGGACTGACACCGAGGCCTTAGGGCTCAAGCACTGAGGTGACCACGTGGAGGGTGGGGGCCAGGACGAGGCCTTAGGGCTCAAGTATCATGTGGGTGGCGTGGTCAGGGCGAGGCCTTAGGGCTCAAGTATCATGTGGGTGGCGTGGTCAGGGCGAGGCCTTAGGGCTGGAGCACTGAGGTGACCACGTGGGTGGCGTGGGCAGGGCATGGTTCAGCACTGACAGTTACAGGGTTGCTGTGAGTCATTGACATGACAGGACCTGACTGTAAGAACAACAGTGCACGGCTGTCTGTCAGGCAGAGCAGAACAGCCCCTCAGGTCCGCAAGGCTGTAAATCGTGAAGGAAGCTGACTGCTGATCTCTCTCCTGCGAGCACCTGGTGGGGGCCTTCCTCCTTTCACAAGATCAATGAACAATTTCTAAAAGCTCTGTTACAAACGAAGTGTCCTATTTACAAAGGTATAATAAGCATTTGCATCCACTATTTTGGGATGAATGTGAGCCAAAATGACCTGAATTCAGAAGCAAATTAGGAATTTGAATCAGAGACTAGATATAGCAACAACCTTTCTCATTTATTTTTAAGCATTTCATTTGAGTGAGAAGCTAAGTGTTTAACTACTACATCACCAAGGTTCTTAAAACTCAGACCAACACAGAGCATCAGGATAACCAAGCAGTAAAACATACAAGACACACGGCAGGCCTCAGCTGGGCTGGTAGGACACAGTTACTGAGGAGGGCTGGAGTCAGAGGGACAGGTGAGCACTTCTAGCCCAGCCTCCAGCTGGCTTTGTGCACCTGGGAAGTCAATCACAGCTGTGCGGTGCAGGGCCTAGCATGGGCACGGAATCCAATGTCTGGTGCCGGAGGAGACTGCGACTCAGTAGGAGAAGCGTGGTCCATCCACCTCCAGGCGTTCTTCCAGGAGAGTCCACACTGCACTGCGCTGCTGTGAGATCCCGGCAGAGAGAACACTGCTCCCCATCTCTTATCGCAAACACAAAATCTGTGTTTCAAAATATCTGCATGAGGAATCGAACCAGCATGATGCCACTGCTATTCCACCGAGGTGAGTTTGAGGACAAGAGCGTGCTTAGAGTGGGAGCTTATGTATCACACACTGACTTGAGAACTGCCACTGTCTCAACCAATCACCAAGAACATCTTTCAATCAATAAAAAGAAGGAATAAAGTGATACCAAAGTCCCAGAAACTCTGACTTTGGCTCATTTCTAAGGTTCCTTTTATAAGACCTTTGGCTTAAGATAATGACCTCCAGATGATTCCATTAAACTCTCTGAGGCTTCCCTGAAAAGGGGTGTCATGCTTGGAAAGGTGGGGGAAGTTGGCAAAAGAGAGGAGGCCGCTCAGCTGGACGGATTGACGCAGTGACTGCAGCAATGGGCTCAAGTGTGTGAGGGATATAGTGAGGACAGCCCAGGACAAGTCAGGGTTCAGATCTGCTGTTCATCGGTTTGCTGTGGTCATACTCAACTCAACAGCAACAACAATAGCAGCATCCGAACCCAACATCACCTATGGCATCACATTCTTATTGACAGAGGACCCCAAGCCATGTGGAACTGCTGTGCTGTAGTGGGACTGTTGTTCAGAACAGCTTTCTTAGGCTTCTGCCCTGGATTGTGCCACATGGCTGGATCAGAACCAGAAAAGCGATGCACTAGTCCATCCACCAAGGGACTGCCTGACTGCATCACCCCATCAAGCTTTGAGCAGGTTCAGCGGCAGAACTTTGCGACTCTCACTCCCAATAAGAAAGAAGCAGCAGAGAAGGCAGCACACGTCTGCTGGGGCAAGAGCTTCTTATGTCGGGCAAACCAGGGCTGAGAAGAGAGCAGCCACCACTGTAGCAGAGTCAGAGGCTGGACACGAGACAGAGCTGACCAGGGACGCTGCCCCATGGAGCTCAAGCCAAGGGTCGTGGCCCAACCTGCTGGAGGCCTTCGTAGGGGAAGAGGGGGAAGAGGGACACCATAATTGGCTGGACTAAGGCAGCTTTTTAACACTGGCCAAAGCCACAGGCTGAAGGAACTGTGAACATGCTTCAGAAGAGCTCCTCATTGCAAAACTGTATCCAGTTGCCAACCCGAACTGTAACCTTCTAACTTCTCTAATAAACCTCGTAATCATAAATATGGTTCTGTGAGCCCTGTCTAGCTACTGCAATGGATCTTGGACCCAGCAGGGCTGTAGAAGTGGTGTAAGAATGAACAGACAAAGGTGATGGAGTGTGAGAGGCATGTCTGACCTCATGGGAATCGGTTCTGTGCTGTGGATGCTGTTGATGGGGACAGTGCTCCCTTGTGGAGTCGGCAGAGGTCAGACTCAGCTGTCCCCATGCCGCCTACACTCTTCACAGCTGCAAAAGACACATTCACAATCTTCATAAAGGATTTTCCTTCACAAAGCCCGTGGTTACACTGATGTCTAGGGCTTACCTGTCTTCCTGTGTTCCTACTTGAAGATGTCACTCCAGACCCTCACCATGCCACTGAAGGGACAGGCCGGCGCTGGCCACTCACCTGGAGGATGGACACAGTCTGGGAGAAGTGGTGCTGCTCCATGGTAGAGGTGGAGTAGAGAGCCGCCAGGGGGTGGTCGAACTTCTGCAGGTAGCTGTTACTGAAGCCCCTGTGGTCCAGGTCATGACACAGACAGGCGATCAGGAGCCCCTTGCGCTGAAGGAAACAACAGAGTGGTGATGCTAAGGGGAGACAGGGGACAGAGGCGGTCGAGGGCCTCCTCGCCTCGCTCACTCATCTCTGCCTTCCCCTGGGCAGCTCCCGGCGTCTCATCGCATGACCCTGACAGGACTTCCGACAGCGCTGTGGGTCACTATGATTTGGGACCAACTGGATCTGGTTTGGGGAGAATTCTAGCACAGATGAAATATCCTTTTCACAAAAATATATAAGTATTTGCATATGCTAATTTGGAACTGAGAGAGAGCAAAGAGCCAGGGCTTTCCCAGGGCCTTCAAGTGGGGCCTGAATTCAGTTTTGAGACTCCAGAAAAGAGAAAATAAATCTCTAGTATCTAAAGTACCTCCCTGTGCTATTGTTACAGAATCCCCCACCCAGTGGAAGGCAGGAGCCCAGGGGGCAGGCTGCAGTCTGTGTGGCCAGCAGTTTGAATCCAGCAGGTGCTCCCAGGGAGAAAGATGTGCAGTCTTCTCCTGTAAACAGTCACAGTCCAGGAACTCCTCAAGTCAGAATGGATTCAAAGGTGGTGGGGAAAGAGACTGCCGTTGAGGGAGTGAACTGGAGGTGACCCTGGAATGACAAGGGCCGTACCCACCACTCGGAGCACTGCTCACACCTACCTCCAGGTCTGTGAAGAGTCCTGTGTTGTTCTGCAGGATGGCGTACATGCAGTGGGCCACGGTGACGGCATGCTTCCAGTTGTGGTAGGGGACACGCCGGTAGTTTTTTTTAACGGACATAATAAAACGACACAACTTTTCAAGGTCAAAGCTGTATGGAAAGAAATTGATCATGGAAACCATTACAGCTCTTTCAGGCTAGGAGTCGGTACCTACGTTACGTGCTATTGTTGGGTCCCATCAAGGCGGCTATGGCTCGCAGAGACGCCGTGACAGCAGACGTGAACCCTGCCCTTCCTTCCACCCTCCCCCTCCCTCCACAAGGCCCAAGCAGACTGTGGTGGTCACTGTGTCAACCCAGCGCATTGAGGGTCTTCCTCTCTTCCACTGACCCTCTACCTTTTCCAGAAATATGTTTCTCTCCAAGGACTAGCCCTTTCTGAAAATACGCCCACTGGAAGTGGGATGAGGCCTCCCCATCCTTGGCTCTCAGGAGTACCCTGGTTCCTAAGACGGACTCGTCTGTTCTTTTGGCAATCCATGGTATATATTCACTGCTCTTCACCAACATCACAATTCACAGGCATCGATGATTTGGTCTTCCTTATTTATGGCCCAGTAGTTCAGTGGCAAGAAGCTGCACTACAATCCTGAAGGCATGCAGTTCAAGGCCACCAACTACTCCACAGGAAGATGGGCAATCTCCTCCCGTGAGATTAACCGGCTTTGACAACTCGCCGGAGGGTCAGCTGTGGGTCGGTTCTGACTCCATGGTGCACAACAGTGATATTGAATAACAAGACGTTCTCCCTTCGCTCTTGCCTATTGTTGTCATATACCATCAAATCGGAACGGGCCCTCAGCTCGCGCTCCGGCAGGTTTTCAGAGGTCGTTAATCTCAAAGGAGGGACTGCCTGTCCTTCTCCTGTAGAACACTTGGTGGACTTGAACAGCGTGTCTTCAAGACTGCAGTGCCACATCATTTTTACAAAGAGTTTATTCAGAACTTTTAAATGCACTGGAAGCAATTATACACACGATGGCTTATATCAGATGCGCTGTAGTCACCAAACTAACATCCCTGCTCTTTAAAAGTTTGGAGAAGGTCCTTGACAGCAAACTCTCCCACTTCAACACGTCTTTTGATCTCTGCTGTTGCTACAATGGGCCCTGACTGTGGCTCTAAGGATGTATGTATAATGAAATCGCTGACAACTGCAATCTTTCTTCCATCCATCATGATGCTGACTACTAGTCCAGTGGTGAGAATGTTTTCTTGACTTGAGCTGTAATCTATCTTGAAGGCTGTAGTCTTAGGTCCCCTACAGCAACTACAGACATTGTATGTACATTATGGAAGGTAGCTTCTGTTCATGTGTGGCTATGTCTGTATTTTCACTGGATGATGTCAGCACACTGGGGCCTTAAATAGATATACACTCAATGCCTTCATAGTCACTGCGACATCATCACTTAGCCCTCTCTCTTCTATTTCTCCAGCCTGGAAGAAGTAAGAGGTTGAACATGCTCAAAGAGGTTCTGTTCCGTTGCATGAACAGACCCACCATGGAGAGAACTCCAGGACAGTATTATTATTCACCAATAAGCAGATGCCACCACAGCCCTTCCCATCGTCCTGACCTTTGCAAACATTTCTCGCAACCTACAGTGACCATCAGACAACAAGACAGCTTCACTTTGGCTCACGGTTGTAGAGTTGATAATTTGTGCGAAGAACAGGAAGGACATATACCATGACAATTTGCACATGAAGAATTGTCTTCTCTAAGCATGAGTACCATGGTGCATTCAAGTTACTGAGTGGGAAATGACTAAATCCAAAGACTATCCGAGTACGTGAACCACTGTGACACTTTTATTGTGCTGTGTGGTTACACAAACACACACATACACACACATACACTCACATATATGTTTATTATTACGCATTTATATGCGCTGAAAATACTACCAAACTTTCAAATGGATTTAGGGTAACTTAAAAGAAAAACATTGGCAGTATAAACAATAAAAAAAATTCAAAACTAAAAACATCATTATAAAATAGGGTCTTCAGAAATATAAAAGATATGAGCATACATAAAATTAAAAAATGTCTATAAGTTGCTCTTTCTTTATTTTTTAAAAATTCTTTTTTGTGTTTGTTTTTTTTTAATTATTTGTGTGTGTGTGTGTACCATCAAATCAGATTTGACTGGTACAGGAGGAGATTGTTCCTCCTTCTCCAGCAAAGGATCTGGTGGATTTGAACTGGTACCTTTCAGACTGCAGTGGAGCTCCTTGCCACTAGGCCACCAGAGCTCACCAAGTTGCTCTTTCTTTCATTAAAAATATCCTAGTCTTTGAAGTGGAAGGTATAGAATGGCATTTTAAGAGTTCCAGCTGGCAGAGTCCTTGACTGACCATCTAAGGAATTCCTGGAGTTAAGTACTGCTATCCTGCATACATCCCTTCAAAGCAGAAAATTCTGGAAAGTCACTGGCAGAAGTGAAAAAGAGCACATGAATTCAGAAATGCTTCTCCACAAACCATTTAACACCTAAAAGAGGAAAGCTGTCCCCTGCCTTTGAAAATGTATGTGTACCAGAGTTGTAAGTGAGAAGATACAGAGAGAGGTATCTCTATCAGGCCAAAGGGACTGAGGAATGAAATGTCCACACACAAGGAAATTGTCCGTGATTAAATATCTGATCAAGTACCTTTTCTCTTTGCTAAGGTGCTCTGGGGGCCTAGTGAGAAGCAGCTGCACTGCAATCCCAAAGGCGCACAGTTCAGACTGACCACTTGCTCCACGCAAGGACAGGCACTCTCTTCCTGTTTATCCCGAGCAAAGCCACCAGAGCATCATCAGTGGGTTGTTGCTGACTTCACAACAACTTCATTCGTAACTAGGAACCTTGTTTCCTTTATACATAAATGAACTGAGATGTGAGCTGAAAACAGATGCTGAACATATTACCTCAGCAGGAGACATAGTCAGCTGTTCTCTATGTTCTCTATAGACTGTCACCACTGTTGTTAAGTGTCAGAGGTCAGCCGTCACTCAGAGGCTCTGACTAACAGCAGACGGACACCCTGCCCTATCCTGTGCCGTCCTCATGAACCCCGCCAGGCCCAATCCCACTGCTGCAGTCACTGCTGATTCACCTCCATGGACGGCTTCCTCTCCTTCAATGAGCCTCCATGTCTCCTCGACTGTTTTGATGAATTTTTCTAAATTAACCTTCCTGACAATACGCCAGAAATATGGGGATGAAGTTACCCCTCTGAGGAGCACCCTGGCTGCACTTCTTCAAGGCAGTACTGTTTGTTCTTTTAAAAGTTCATGTTGTAAAAAAAAAAAAAAAGAAAAAGTTCATGTTATTATGTGCTCTCAAGTTGCCTGCGACACATAGCGACCCTAAGTAGAGCAGCTCTGAAGCCTGCCCTGTCCTGAGCCAGTCTCACTGACTTCAACACCTCCACTGCCCCAGTTACTGTATCAACCCATACCATCCAGGGTCTTCCTCTCCTGCACTGTCCCTGCACCCTTCTGAGCATGATGTCCTTTTCTAAGGACTGGTCCTTCCTGCCCACATGCCCAAAGTATGTGAGATGCAGCTTCAAAATCCTAGCCTCCAAGGAAAAACTGGGTTTCACTCTCTCCCGGACAGATCTATTTGTTTTCTTGGAGGTCCATAATATGTTCAAGACTCTCCTCCAGCACCACAACTTGAAGGCGTCAATTCTTCTGTCATCCTTAGTCACTGTCCAGCTCTCTTATGCACAGCAAGTAGTTGTGAGACCATGGCCTGGATGAGGAGCACTTTAGTCTCTAGACTGACATCGTTGCTTCTCAGTACTCTGGAAAGGTCTCTGAAAGCAGCCCTACCTAATGCAATTTGTCTTTTAATCTCCTGATTGCTGGTGCCAAGAGTGTTGCTAGAGGAAGCAAGCAAGTTATAGTTGTTAACAACCTCAGGCTCTTTTAAATCTGTCATGGTGCTGCCAATTGGCCCAGTGGTGAGAATCTTTGTTTTCTTGATGTTGAGCTTCAATCCATATTGAAGATGACAGTCCTTGACCTTCTGCAGCAAGCGCTTCAGGTCTTCCTCAGTTTCAGAAAGCAAGGTTAGGTCATCTACACAATGTAGGTTGTTGATTAGTCTTCCTCCAATGCTGATGCCACATTCCTTCTCATAAAGCCCAGCTTCCCAAGTGATCTGTTCTGCACAGAGATTGAAAAGGTATGGAGACAGGATGCAGCCCTGACTCACTCAATTTCTGATTTTGAACCATGCGGTGTTTCCTGCTCTGTTCTGAGGACTGCTTCGTGGTCCAAGTACAGGTTTCACATAAGCACAACCAATTGTTCTGAGATTCCCATTCTTCTCAAGCGTAGCCACAATTTGTTATGATTTACAGTCAAATGCCTTTGTGTAGTCAACAAAACACAGACATTCCTCGGGTCCTCTTTGCTTTCTGCCAAGATCCATCTGACACTGGTGATAATGTCTCTAATGCCATGACCTCTTCTAAACCCAGCATGTAGTTCTGGTAGTTCTCTGTCGGTGTGTTGTTCCAGTTGTTTCTGGATAATCTTCAGCAGGATTTTGCTTGCGTGTGATATGAGTGACAATGTTAGATAATTTCCACTCTCTCGGGTCACCTTTTTTGGGGGGATGGGAATGGATCTTCCAGTCAGTTGACCAGATAGTTCTCCTCCAGATTTCTTGGTACAACGTGGTGAGCACAGCCAGGGCAGCAAAGTGCCATCAACATACTTTGCCAGCAGCACGATTCAAACACATTTTTTAAAACTTTCCTCTTTTATTGTTGAACTTTAATATATAAAGCAACGGAAAAGACTAGGGCTTGTGGTGAGGGCACCTTAGTCCTTTAAGTGATATCCCTGCAGAGACCCTTGACAAGAGTCTCCCAACGCAACATGTCTTGTGATTTCCTGCCTGCTGCTACCATGGGTGCTGACTGTAGACATGAGTAAAAGGAAATGGTTAACAACTTTTCCCCAACCATCGTCATGTTGCCTCTTGGCCCAGTTCTGAGGAATGTTGTTTCCTTGATGTTGAGATGTGGTCCATATTGAAGGCTATAATTTTCAATCTCCTGCAGTAAGTGCTTTAAGTCTTCACTTTGTGCAAGCAAGGCTGTGTCACCTGCTTATCCCGGGTTGCCGATAACTCTTCCTCCGATCTTAATGCTGCCTTTTCTTCAGAGTCCAGCTTCTTGGACAATTTTCTCAGTACACAGATTGAATAGGGCAGGAGAAAGGATGCAGCCCGGATGCACACCATACTTTTAACCCTAAGAGGAAGCTAAACTTTGTCACTTGGGGTCTCTGTGAGTCAAGAACGACTGCCTGAAATGTACCAACCGCAACACTCCTACGTTACTATTCGTGAAGTCTGTGACTACACTGAGGAGTCACTCGTCTCTCTCAGCTACACAGCAGGAAGATCGAGAGAATCTGTATGAAATGCCTATATTTCCATGGCACCTCAGTCCTGGGCATGGTCGCTGGCCAAGGTGCTGGCCGGAGAACTGAGCGGCCTGTGATGAGTATGGACCTGAGAGGGCTCCATCAGCCTATGTTTATTACAAATGGGGGGGGGTATTGTGTGTATATTCCAGATTTTAAGGTAAGTAAATGAAGTCCTTGGGGAAGGACATTATATACTTGGCAGGACAGAGGGACAGCACAGGAGAGGAAGACTCCGGATGAGATGGATTGACACAGTAACTGTAGTAATGAGGTGGTGTGTGGGAGTCGGTGAGACTGGCTCAGGATAGAGCAGGGTTCAGAGCTACTCTCCGTAGGGTCGCTCTGAGTCACAGGGGACTCGATGGCACAGAACAACAGCAGCAAAGGCAGGATGGGGTGAAGGAGGACATCTCATTCAATGTTTGAAAAACAAAGTCCATACCAGGCTATCCCACAGGACCGGTGAACCATGTGGACAAAAATCCCTGGCCACATGTTCTCAAAAGGACCAATGTCAAAGTGGAATCTGAAATCAAAAGAAGTCAGTTAGTTAATAAATGTAATTAGTATAAACACAATGACAAATAAAGAAGGGGGCACCTCATTAGACTGCTAAACCCTCCGGGAGGTCCTGGGAGGCCAGCACCTCTGTCCCCCTCCTCAGCACCATCCCCGTGACTTCATGATCTCAAGAGATGAGACCTGTACAGTATCACAAATACTTAAGTCAATGCTTACATCTTCTATTGCAGAAAAAGATGTCAGTGCTGCTATCAGAGAAATTAAACAGTGTTAGATAAACTATCATAGATATTTAACAACTGTAAGTTGTTATCATGAACAACATGCCTCTGGAAACTCTATGAACTTTGATAAATGTCGATAGTTGTAGAGGCGCTTCAGGCCTTTTGTTCATAGGGTCGCTATGAGTCATGTTTGACTTGAAGGCATTAAACAACAACAACAACATTACGAAACTCTCATGGTCCCTACACATCTGTTGTACAACTCAAAATGAACAGGGGACAAGAACTTTACCAAAAACATTTTTTTAGAGTTAAAAATGGTACTGTCTCTCCTATTTAAATCCAGGGAGGGGGTGGGGGACAGAAACACATATCATTACCTATTTTTATTTGCTTAGTTATCAACATTTACCCAGAAAAATCTAGAAAGGTTAGCATAGCACACCTCTATGCCGATGGCGTGCACACCCTAGGTTTTCTGCAGATCCCTTCAGGGTCAGTTCCCGGTGTATGCCAACTACCAGTAGCAAAGACAGATTAGCACAGATTGGAAACAAAAAGTGGAGTCTCAAAAGGAAATGAAAACTTAGATATAGTTAAAATGTCACTGTCATATTACATATTTGAGTTTTGGTGACTTAGTGGGTAAGGAGTTGGGCTGTCAACTCAAAGGCAGGCAGTTCTAATCCACCCGCTGCTCGGTGGGAGAGAGACGGACAATCTTCTCCCGTGTGATTTACTGCCTCTGAAAACCTGCTTGGGGGGATGGGGGGAAGCTAGTGGTTGGTTTCAACTCAAAGGCACACAACAACAACATTGCATATTAACGCTAGTACACTAGCTAACTTGTAAGTTCGTTCATTTCAGAGTGGAGTTGAGGTTGGTTTTTTGTGGGGAAGCTGCCTGGCTCATGTTTCCTGGATGTGTCGTAAGCTGGGAGTCACTGCAGCAGGGCCAGGCCAGTGGCAGCGCCCCGGGCGTGAACTGGGGCATCGTGGCCCTCCCTACGCCCCCTTCCGCCGTGGTTCAGGGGCTGAGAGGCCCGAGGAGCCCGCCGGGCACTCACAGCTCCACTTCCTTGCAGAGTCTGACGGGCAGCGTGAAGTTCATGAGGCCCTGCCACTCCTCGGCCGTGCAGATGCTGTGATACGACAGCTTCTCCATCGTCACCCGGTAGATGCACTCCGAGTGCCGGATCCGGTGGTACATCTGGAAAGCAAATTCAAACACAGAAACCACAGATGAACCTCCAGACTTCCTGTCAGACGGGTCGGCACAAACGTCGTAAGTAAACCGTAACCGCTGTGTGAGGCAGGGGTAGTGGTGCAGTGTCTCCTGCGCTGGGCTGCTAATCGGAAGCCTGACCGTCTGAACCCACCAGCTGCTTCGTGTGAGCAGGACGAGGTGGTCTCCCGTGAGGATCGGCAGCCTTGGGAGCCCCCGGAGGGTCAGTGTGGGTCGGGAATGACCAGGACAGTGGGGTTTTGTTTTGTAAGTGACATGCACTTAGGACCATCAGTTGCACTAATAGGATGAGCTGATGTTTATGGGACTCGTCAGCTCAATTCACAGCTGTCATATTGGCAGCGACTCACAGCAGACCCTGTGGTGTGTTTCCAAGGCTGTAAATCTCACAAGAAGAGACCATCTGGCTTTCTTCCTCAGAGCCACCAGCGAGGACGGCCTCTGGACCAGCAGTGCGGGTCCCCGTGGTGACTTGAGCAGAACTCCCTGCCTGACGCACAGTGACCCCCACACAGGGCACGAGGCAGCCCCGATACAAGGGCTCCATGGTGGTGCCACTTAGGAAGGAGGCAGCCTCATCTTACCCCACAGACCAGAGGCGGGATTCGAACCTCTGACTTACAGGCTTGCATCCAAATGTTACGTGGCCACTCTAGTCGGACTATAATGAGAATCACAATTGCAATAGCAGTTTAAGACTTCTGTGGGCTCATTTATAATTGATGAAACAATCAGTATTCACAATTTCTATTACTAAAAATGAAATTCTTTGTCACTGTTAACCTAAATACAAAATGTAAGCCATCAATTAATTTATGAGCAAGGTATTCAGATACTAAAAAGATCTGAAAGACAAAACTGTTTGCTAATCGTGCACTGTTGCTGTATGCACCATCCAGCTGGAAGCAACTCATAGCTGACCCTGCACAGCGTTTGAAGAGGCAGTAAATGGCATGGGAGGAGGTGAGCCATCTTCCTCTCAGGAGGCAACTGAAGATTTGAACCCTGTGCCTTTGGGTTGGCAGCACAGCTCCTCACAGCTAAGCCACCAGAGTTCCCAGGTACAACAAGCTATGTAAGAAAAAAGTGCCACCAGAGAGCAGCATGACAGAGCAAGCGAGGCCCTCTTACACACAGCGCCAAGGGCTCAGCGTCACCAGACCTGAGTCTCTCACTGCTCCTGTCAGTTCCCACCATTTCCACTGACATGTGGTTGCCCCACAGAATAATGAGGTCAGATTTCCAAAGGGCATTTTTCTCAGTGAGAAAGCCAGTGCCCCTCACTCAATTTGTCCTGGCTTTATCCAAGGTAATCCAATTGCCCTCCCTCCCGAATCCACACAAGGCCATGAAAGGTTTACAGAGTCAATGCCTTTGAAATGTGCGGCTGGTGAAGAGCACTGACTGTCCCGCAGACCACAAAAAAACAAACCAATCTCTAGAGGAAGGGGACAACCAAGTGGTCCTGAAGCACAGATGGCGAGAGTCACAGCCACATTTTGTCAGAAGAGACAGTCTCGGGAGGAGGGGATCAGGGTGGTGAAAGAGAGAGCTCCTTGACATCAGGGGTGGTTCAGTGGCTGTGAGGATGTTAAGCACAGCAGAGCGAGGGAGTTGACACAGGAGGAGTCAGGGGTTCCTTGTGCAGCACAGGGGTCACGGGGTTGACCTGATGGCCCCGACAACAACAACAACAACTAGGAAGAATACAGGAGCACTCTGGGGGCCTATGGACCGACTCAGTGACCGGGGTGACGCGGGTGGGTGTGTCAGATAGTAAGGTTGGCCCAGGATAGAGCAGGGTTCAGAGGTCGTGTACACAGGGTCACTATAAATCACAAGTGACTTGATGGCACTTAACAACAATGACGACGACCTGGTGGCCGAGACCACAGAGAGCTGCACTGTTGGCCACAGGCTGGGCCCCCCTGGGGGCTGACCGAGAGGGTGGCTCTGGGGACTTGTCTCTTCCTCCTCCAAGAGCCGCAGCCTCAGAAACAGCTGTGAGCCGGTCCCCGCTCCACAGCAATGAGGGTCTCAGAGGAGAGAACACTAACTTTTCTTACTATTAATTCAATTCTTCAGGACAAAGAATGTGCAAAGAAAATGACAATCATCCACTATATTCTCATTTTCACACTCACATCTTCAAATGAATGTAAAACAGTAGGAGTGTTTCGCTTGTTTTGCTCCTCCAAGACATTTTAAGGCATTTCCTCAAATATGTCAATCCAGAAATCATTGTTTCTGGGTTATAACATAAACAGAAGTCTAGAACAAAATAAAAAGCTGTATGTTACACTTTAAAATGTTTTAAAATTGAATAGTAAACAAGCCTTTGTAAAAAGTATATTCCTTAAAAAAATGAGTCATAAAAGCTGCATTTTGAAAGTATAATCCTTAAAAATGGAGTAGGAAAAGTGTGCTTTAAAACGTGTACTCCTTTAGAATTGAGGAGGTCCAAATTCTTTTTCAAAGTGTATTCCTCCAAAATTGAGCAGTAGTTGACTCTGTTTTCAAAGTATGTCTTAAAGTGTGGTACTCACATCAGCACAGTGTACAGCTGACAGTGTAGTACTCATCTGAGCACAGTGTAAGGCTGAGGGTACAGTGCTCACGTCAGCACAGTGTAAGGCTGAGGGTATAGTACTCACGTCAGCACAGTGTAAGGTATAAGGCTGAGGGTATAGTACTCACATCAGCACGGTGTGAGGCTGACAGCGTGGTACTCACGTTAGAACACTATAAGGCTGACATACAGCATGGTACTCACATCAGCACAGTTTGAGAATGAAAGGTTGGTACCCACACTAGCATGTAACGCCGAGGGTATAGTACTGACGTCAGCACAGTGTAAGGTGTGAGGCTGACTGACAGCACTGTACTCACGTCAGCATAGTGTGAGGCTGACGGCGTGGTACTCACATTAGCACAGTGTGAGGCTGAGGGTATAGTACTCACGTTAGCACAGTGTAAAGCGAGCGCACAGAAGACTGCAAACATCTTGAAGTTGTTCTCGTCCGTTTTGGAGAAGGCACTTCCACTGATCTTGTTCACCATCTGAACGACGCCGATGACGCTGCCCCGGCTGACGATGGGCATGCACAGGATGTTCCGGGTAGTGTAGCCCGTGTACAGGTCCACTTCCCTGCAGGGACACAGAGTCAGCGTGGGGGCTGCAGCAGAGGGTCCAGGTCTGGGAGGGGAGGCAGCGCGTGTGCTTCTGTGATAAAGAGTCACGAGGAGTCCAAACAACGATGCCCGAGAAGAGACCCCACAGGTCCTAGGCTGCAGCCTTCAGGGAAGCCAATGGCCAGTTCAATGCCTCTCCCACAAAGTGTTTGGTGGGTTTGAACTGCCAACATTTCCCTTACCAGCTGAGCATCTAACCACCCTATCCTCAGCACGTCTCCTATTACAGACTTCTGTAACAAACAAGGGAGGGCTGGTGGCCTACTGGTAACGAACTGCACTAGGAGCCCAAAGGCATGTGGTTGGAATCTCCTGCTCTGCAGGAGAAAGATGGGCAGTCTTCTCCCACGTGACTCAGGGTCTATGAAAACCCACTCGAGGGCCAGCAGTGAGTCAGCTTCGTGTGCACCCGCTGGCTTCTAAATGCAGTGACAATGTGACATTGCAAACAGTTTCACCAAAGTCTTTTAGACAGTATTTTAATTGGAACCTAGGACAGAACGTGCTTTCGTGGTTCAGATTTCAGCCAGACAACAGACAAGCTCATATGATAACCACTCCTCAGAATAATGAACCACTTCACATCAAGCCAGCATCTGCCCAGGGCAGAGCTCAGAGGAAGGAGGGGACAGGGCAGGAGGATGACTGGAAGCAAACATGCAGGGAGGAAACAGAAAGAAGACAGTCACAACACGGGCTCTGGAATGGCATCCTCAAAACAACACGTGGGCGAGTGGAAAGTGAATTGCTTTGTAGACTTTCACCAAAATCAGTGTGTGTGTGTGCGTACACACACAGACAGACAGACTGAGAGGCAGCAGATGCGTTCAAACTGAGCGCCTCTGGGTGGGCGTGCAAGTCCTTCTAAGTCACCAGAGGGAACCTCAGGGTGGGCATGCAAGTCCTTCTAAGTTACTAGAGGGAACATGTGTACATGTGTATATGTACATGTGTCGGAAACTTGCCCTTCTGTTTTCAGGGGTTTTCCTAAAAAAGTGTTTAGGAAGCTTCAGTTTATCATCTGGTTTCAAGGATCCAGTCTCACAAAATAAACGTGGGTAAACAGCGTGGACTCAGAGCAAAAAGAAAATAAATTAGTTAAAATAACACGTCCTTTTGAAATGCTAAGCCAGTGGGAGGTACCACTTTAATAGCTTAGTGTAAGGGGCCTGGCTAACTTGTAAAGCAAGATTAGCACTGCATTATAAAACCAGCAAGACTGATTCCATCTTGACTACAACATCTGCTTGGCAGTAAACAACTCTAGGAAGCAGTATGCTAATGAATAGGGAGTGACCAAAGGTCTCAGAATTCAAGGAATGTGATGCTCTTAATTCTGAGACTCTTTATTCTTCTAAGCACACAATAAGGCATTCCTGTTTTGTGTTGAGGTCTGGGAATGTTTGACCTGACAGTCAACATCTGGGACAGATAAGAGATATTGCGATTACCCCTGCAGGCATGCTTCTAAAACCTATATAAGCCTTTTCCAAAAGAAATAAAATGGCTCTTTGTCATCAGCAAGTAGTCTCTGCATCTTCATTCCATCCTCGTCTGTTCTCTCAGCGGAACTATTTCGATATAACAGGGTTGGACCCCGTTAGGTTAGAACAACGACTGGCAGCGTTTATTACCCTAACAGAGCTGGTTCCTGCTTTGGACAGAATTCTTCAGGGATACACAGTTGCACCCACAAATGTGTCAGGGATACACGATTACATCTATTCACTTGGGAACAAGGCTGCCTGTCTTCATTTTCTGGTGGGGAGGTCAGTATTTATGACTGAGATGGCACATATTGCAAAGCAAAAAATATTTACTACTTTCTGGAAGTTGGTGGTATAAAGAGAGGTTTACACCAACCAGCAGCTCCATGAGAGAAAGGGGGGGGGAGGAAGGGGCAGGGGGCTCCTTCCATGAAGAGTCCTATCTTCAGACACCCAATGGAGTCAAAAGCAGTGGGCTTAGGGACAGCCCTTTAAAGACCCCAGTGCCTCAGTGGTTAAAGCATTCACCTGCCAAGCAAATGGTCGATGATCCTGAGCCATCATCTGTTCTATGGAAGGAAAACGTGGCGGTTGGCTCTTGTAAAGATGTAAAACCTTGGAAATTTCATATGTTCATTATGTGTCTTAAGTTAGTCACAAGGCAATATATTTTATTTGGTTTTGTTCCTTAGCAAAAAAAAAAAGTCTGCAGACCCTTGACGTAGCAAAGATGCTGAAGCACCATAAGCCTTCTGGTTGGCTGCTCCGCGGCTGGCTGTGCTCCGGGCTCAGCTGACCATTTAGCACGATGTCTCTGAGATTCATCCTCGGTGGTACGAGCGTCCGTGGTCCGTCCTTGCACTGCTGAGTGGCACCGCCTGGGCTCCCCTGAGTATCACATTTTATCTACCCCTCTTCTAGGGCATGGACACTTTTCTTGCCAGCAGTCACTTTCTCACAATGAAGAAGGCTGCTTACACTGCAGATGTGCTGACCAGTCCTTTGTGGACCCAGCCCTCTGTCTCCTGGGGAGGCAGCTAAGGAGGAGCGGAACTGACTGGGCAGTCAGCACTTGCTCAATTAAAGGAAACCCAAGCTCATTTCCAGCAGGGCTGGAGCACTTTCCATGCCCAGAAAGCAGTGCCAGGCCAAGTTCTCCACATTCCTGTCCAACCTTCACACTAACCTGGACTGACATTTGAAAGGACAGGTGGACCTGCCAGTTAGCTCTCGCCAAGTGTGACTTTACAAGACACCACGCCTTTCTCACATCTTTCTATATGTTTACTGATCACTCGTACATATTCTGTAAAATTTTTGGTTACAATGTTTTTATCTTTCTACTGAATATGGGAGGCTCATTAGAATTATGCTAGAACTGGAGATTATATATCCTAGAAACAAGTGTTCTGTCAAATATGTTTGGCAAATATTTTTTCCTCAACTCTTTCTTGTCTTAATCATTTTAATGACCTGACCTGCAAATTTTTTATATTAAGTCTTCCATGAGGATATTAATATATTTTCAAAATCTAAACTCCAAAATAACAAATTCATTTTCTTATAAAACAGTATTTTCAATATGGTCTTAATTTATTGAAAAGCAATGTTAAGGGAATATAACAATTCTTAGGAGTTTTTATAGCACAACAGAGGAAGACCCTGCATGAGATGGATTGACTCAGTGACCGAGTTATTGCGGGCAGGTGTTGGAGACAGTGAGGTTGGCTCAAAACAGAGCAGGGTTCAGAGCTGTTGTACATAGTGTTACTATGAGTGAAATTTATTAGACAGCACATAACAACACAACAACTTGTGTTTTTCTAGTTAAATATTATCAGTAAAATACATTAAACAAATTTTGCTGCTTATGTTATTAATTACCTATACTAAATTAACTGAAAAATGCCGTCAAAATACATTATTTCTTAAGAACCTCAATTCTGGTATTTCCAACTTCGAAATTATATTAAAACTAGATTATAAAATCAAGTTTATACCTATTATCTTAAGAAAAGCAAAACAAACTTTATCTGCTATCTTGATATCAGAATATTAATACAAACAAAAACTGAGTTTTATTGAGTGACTACTCTGTTAGAAGTTGCCAGACTTCTTATGAAAATTACCTATAATCTTTGGAGACAAACTATAAAATTGTTATAATATTGCTTATTTTAAAGGTGAAGAAGTTGAACCTGAGATAAAGTGACATTACTGAGGCCACTCCCGAAGGAACATGGAATGAAAGTGAGCTTCAAATGAGACCTTCCTGACCCTGAACATGTGTACCGTGGCAATGCGCCACAGCCGTCAGCAGGCGATGGGATGGAGAACACACGTGGCCACAAGGACCACCACCACTCGGGGAAGACAGCACTAAGTGCAAACTCTCGCCTCTTCCCAACTTGGATGACTTCTGCAGCTCCTGGGCCACGCACAGTGGGGATCTGTCATTACAGAATCACCTGAACAGACTGACTGCAAGAGGCCTGGCTGGAGGAACGTGTATGAGAACGTGGGAGGAGAAAGCACAGAGAGGATGAGGTGCAGAATGGGGCGGGTGGGAGGGAGACGCCCAGGGAAGCAGGGCCCCCACAGAGGACTGGCCCCAGCAGCTCTCACCTGTTGAAGCGCGGGTCTGCATAGGCGTCGGGAATGTTCAGGACTTCCCCAGTCCTGGCTACTTGACCAGCTATGCCTTTCTCGATGGAAAATCTGCAGACACATGAGAGAGAGAAGCATGGAAGTAAAATAGAGACGCTGTGAGGTCACCTAGAACATGGCTCGAGCCCCAGACACTGAGAAAGGCACTGTTGCATCTCAAACGCCTATAATCAGTTTATGTTTAAAAATTCTGAATCTTTTCATTATAGCAAAATTTACAAAAGTAAAGCAGACCACCAGGGGGTTACCCTCCAGAACCCCATCTGAGATACAGCACACGAATGACGGGCTGACCTTGAGAAATTCCCAGCCTTCTGCACGGGGCACTCAGACCCCTCTATACTTGTTGACTGCCTGGTGCACAAAACACTTCAGTGTCCTTGCTCCCAAGTGCTCTCTGAGGAGCGTGGGGGGTACACGCTGGACAGCCACCTGAACAAGCAGGGACTGTGACAACCCAGAGTGGCCGCCCCAGAACGAACGATGGAGCAGTCTGCAACTGCAAAGATTCAGGGTCTTGAAAGCTAACGGGGGCCACCAGGTGAGGCGTGGACAGCAGCAGCCTGGGCTGTGAGCAGGGGTCCACAGTGCGCTATGGAACCTGCCCACACTGTCAGAGCGTCAGTAACCCGCTCACTCTGCCTCTGTAGGGAAGCAGGGCTGCGTCACAGCCTTTCCAGGGCTGCAGATCAGATGGCCTCATTTTCCTCCATCAGAGCCACTGGAGATTGAACTGTGGATGTTCTGGTTCGTGGCCTGACCCTAAGTGTGAGAGTACTGGAGATACAAAAACTCTATCCCTTCAGTGTCCAACAGTGTACTTAGCGCGCACACACCCACAAACCATGAGCCATTTCTGAGACCTTAGGTACCACGTGTGACTAACTTTTTAAGGCAAATACTATGTAGTCTTTGCAATTACATGCTATGCATCGGAGAGTTGGACAGTGAATAGGGATGATAGAAAGAGAATTGTGCCTTTAAGCTGTGGTGCTGGAGAAGAGTACTGAATATACTATGGACTGCTAGGAGAACAAACAGGTTTGTTCTGGAGAAGGCGAAGCCTGAATGCTCCTTGAAGTCAAGGATTCTGAAGCTTCGTCTGACATACTTTGGGCATGCTGCAAGGAGGGACTGGTCCTTGGAGAGGGACATCATGTTTGGGAGAGTGGAGGGACGGTGCAGGAGAGGAAGACCCTCAATGAGATGGATCGATTCTGTGATTGGAGTGGTGGGAATGAGTGTCGGAGACGGCGGGTTTGGCACCGGATAGAACGGCGTTTAGGGCTCCTGTACACAGGGTCACTATGAGTCGCAAGCGACTTGAAGGCACATAACAAAAACAACTATATACATAAGCATAACATAATACAAAACTTGAAGTATTTTCACTTTAATTCATTAAAAAAAATCTAAACATAACTATTAACTTATTGTTGTAGTTGTGTGCCATCAAGTTGGAACTGACCCACAGCTGACCCTCCAGTGGGTTTCAGAAGCAGTAAATCACATGGGAGATGACTGCCCATCCTTCTCCCAGGGGACAGAGCAGCTGGTGGATTCAAACCCCATGCCTTTGCATTGGAAGCACGATTCCTTACCCCTAAGCCACCACAGCTCTCTAGTAACTTACTGCATTCCATCGTTTGCTTTGCTATTTAATCTATATTTTTTCTCTTATAAAACAGTCTCATGATTATAATTTGGTATGAAGATGCATTATTTCAAAACTTTTTTTGGAAATTAACAAAGAGGATGACAGTTCTCAAGAATTGAAACACAATTTTTATAATTTCCACACAATAGACGCTAATTATTATTCAAATAAAGTTCTCCTCATGGCATTATCATGGCAACCCAAGAGAGGACTGATACAAAGGACAACTGACTGTTTCTTAAACAAAAGGCAAACCAGAGTGGGTGTGACCCTCGGTGGGGCACAGGGCCTCTCCTGCAGGACAGGAACACAGGGACTCCAACACAGAGCACAGTGGTCCAGGTCTGTGCCACTGCCTTGGACAGAAGCTGGTCTGACAGCTCGGGTGCACGAGGTTAAAGGCTGCCCGCACACTGTGAACCTGTCAGGTGCTCACTGAGAGGCCTGTGCCATGAGCCTGCGTGATCTGCGGTGTGAGGCTGGTGACCACGGCTCTGCCTACAGAAGCTCTGCATCTGAGCTGCTAGGAGGTATGAGCCACTCCATCCCCCATGGGCGGGGTGGATTCCAGCCCCTGATCTGAGCCCAGTCTACTATGGCAGCTTGTATGCCTGACCTGTGGTCCACACCCAACCTCTGGCCTCCTACACGCCACAGGCAGGGCCACCTGCACAGACCATTCAGCTCGGAGGGACAGTCAGTGGGAGCCCCTGGGCCAGCAGTCAACATCTCCAAACACAGGCCCCACATGGTGCTGGGACTCCCAATTCTGACAAGAGGCAGGATTCTCAGCGAGTTCACCCAACATGAGTCAGTAAGAGCCAACTCCCACCCACGCCAGCAAACCCAGCATAAACACAAGACAAACCACCTAGTGCTCTGACGAGGGACCTCCGGCCAGAGCCCTCAGGACGCTGAGCTGCTACCACAAAGGCCATGCCGCTCCGCTGGTTCAAATCCACCAGCCGTGCAGAGGGAGAAGGCTGGGCACTCCTGTGATTTACAGCCTGCAAAACCCGCTGGAAGACCGTGGATGAGTCGGCAATGAGGTGAGTGCCCTAAGGTCTAAGTCACGTGAGTGGAGGACAAACACCACTTTCCAAACCTATAGAAGTGAAGATGCCATGCTCGGGCAGAGGTGAGGCGTGAGGGTGCCGAGTGCAGGCAGGGGTGAGGTGTGAGGGTGCCATGTGCAGGCAGAGGTGCCGTGCTCAAGTAGGGGTGAGATGTGAAGGTGCTGTGCACAGGCAGGGGTGAGGTGTGCGGTGGTGGTGAGGTGTGGGGG